TCTTCTATCACTGCGTTCGTGCCGCGATCATGTGCGTCTTCACGGCGTTCGTACGGAGCTCCCACTACGTTGTTGGAGATCTCACCGCGCTGCTACGGCAATCATACTACGTTTCTACTGCGTTCTTATCAGACCGCGATCACACGGCTTGTACTTTGTGCATGCCCAAAGTGATCGCCGTCCTCTGGCGTTCTAGGAGACCCTACGCGACCCTACGGCGTTCAGTGGATATCTCACCGCGTTTTCACGGCGCTGTAGGAGACTCTACTGTGATCACCTTGGCGTTTTGCATTTTTGAGGACGCCGTGCAGTCGCCGTGAGGACGCAGGCCTGGTGTGAAAGGGGTTTAAACAATAAATTCCAATAACGATGACGTCAAAGTTGTCTCTTGACATATTTTGAAAGTATGGGATCGGAACAGAATAGAAGAAAACAAGAGGTTTGATTACTATTTTCTACTCTACCTAATTGATAATTGTATATTCTTCAGGATAATAAAACTATTATGGACTGTTTAGAAGGGAGACATCACCAATTATCAGTTCTGTGTAGGGTTGTCAGTGGCGGATTTAAGGGGGGGGGGCCACCCGGCGCGCGCCCCTCCCCCTAAAATTGTCAAAATTAACGTAAATCACAGTTCCGTCTAGAAAATGTAAATATGTTTACTTGGTAGACCTCATTTTACCCTACAAAATCTCTAGAATCCAGGAGCTTCCGGGGGCTTCGCCCCCTGGGCCCCCACCAGGGCTTTGCCCTGGACTCACTGGGGGCCTCAAGGTGGCCCCCAGACCCCTCGCCTACTTTTGGTGCCCCCTCTAACTTCAAATCCTGGATCCGCGCCTGGTTGTCACCCTCGGGCGACAACCCTACATAGACCTGATAATTGGTGATGTCTCCCTTCTAAACAGTCCATAATTGTATATTGTAGAATATCAGGAATATGTCGAAAATCAAAAATACTTTAATGTACTTCCGTCAATACAAAGTTTACTTCCAGTAAAGGAGAAGTCATTTTAAATGGAATTTAAATAAAAATAATGAAGAGAGACATCTCTTTGCAATAAAAAGATATCTCTTTTGCTTGAGAGATATCTCTTTTATACACTTTTGGGAGATATATCTCATTCACTTTAAGATATATCTTTTAAGATAAACTAAAAGAGATATCTTTTTAACTTTAAGAGATATCTCTTTAACTTGGAAAGATATCTCCAAAAGTGAAAAAGAGATATCTCTCTAATTGAAAGAGATATCTCTTTAATAACGTTAACTCTTTCTTTTTTCACCCCTCCAGAGTTTTTCTGTGGCCAATATTGTTAGATTTTTTATTTACTTTTACAATATTGCCCTTTATGTTCCCGTTTTGAAGATTCATGTACATATTATTTGAACATTTAGAAAATTCCATAACTTTACCGTTTTTCTGTAGGTCAACTAATAGTATTTGAATTTCCGATTAAGAAAGGCTAGAATTCCTTTCTTTCTCGGTTCACAATACAAACATGTACATATGTAAAGAGAATGTGTTTATGTGAATATGGTTTATTATTTGTTATTATCTATGGACGAAACTCGAGCTCTTTTCATGATGTTTTTTTTTCAATAAAAATGGAACTCGTAAATTTACTTACCTTGTCATTGGCAATTTGCAAAAATATTTTGTTAAAACACATTCTGATCCTTTAAAAAGATGCTTGAGATTCTGATTGACAAACCAGTTCTTTCAACAATCAGTTGGAATTCCAATGGGTACAAATTGTGCCGCGTTATATGCAGACGTATTTTTGTATTCATATATGAAGCAGACTTTGTCCTAAATCTTATGCGTGAAAAGACTAAAACACTTGCTGTGGTCTTAAACTCTACATTTAGATATATCGATGACGTATTGTCAATTAAAAATGGTAATTTCCATTCTTATGTCGATGCGATATGTCAGGGTGAGCTTGAGATAAAGATATCACAGAGTCTGATACATCTGTTTCATATTTGGATATTTTTCTTGGAAAAAGATTCTATGATAAACGTCAACTTCCCTTACTTATGCAGCAATTCACGCCTTCATCTTCATCCCTCAGCCACATAAACATGGCAATTTAAATATGTACCATACCGTTTTCCATATCAAGCAAGCGTACTTGGACTTATTTTTTTCTTGAGAAAACACGATAAAAATTTCGAACAGCGGGTGTAATCGGTTAACAGGAGATGCTCACTCCTCCTTTGCGCCAGATCCCACCTCTGACGTTTCAGAGGTCATTGTTTGCTGTGTTCCTATTTTGTATTATGTAATGGACTTTTGAGCTTGAATACTGTTCGTAATCTCTAGATGTTTCGTTCAAAAATGTGTGTTAATACTGAAGCTGAAAGGATAAAGACTGAAGTTAAATATTTCCAAAATTATCGGTTTTACATGTATATAATATCTTATAGTAATTTGTTGCTGTAGAATTTCACATGGAAATTTAATCTTTAAAAGAAACTTATTTTATCTAAAAATTATTAAAACTGAATTTTGGGACATTTTCATTGACACTTTTTTTTGTTTACACTTTTACAAAATAAACCTTACCCTTAATATTTAGGAAAAGAAGAAAAGAAATTTTGTTGTGTATTTATGAAACATATTAAATATATATATATATATATATATATATATATATATATATATATATATATATATATATATATATATATATATATATATATATATATATATATTCCAGAAAATTTCTGAGTATATTAATGTGAAGAAGCAAAACCAACTCAGCAGCATTGTCATTCCGTGCTCAGTGATGTGTGCAGAGTTTAACAATTGAACACACCAGATGAATCGTAAACATTAACAATAACAGAGCTCGTGGTTTTTTTTTTACGTTCACAGGTGTGTTGATTTGATATGAAGGCGCATGCTCTTGTGAAACAAGAATATCAGCAGTCTCGTTTAAAGTCATCATTTCGTAAGTTCTATGGTCGGTACTATGACCTGTCACAGACTTGAAGATAAATTTTATCAATTAAAGTATTTGACTAAAATAAATAAAACATTTTTTTTTATTTTGAGAATTATCGAATTTTTTTTTTTTTTACTAAAAGTTTAAATTTTGAAGCACAAAGCAGTTATTTCTCCCAAATTTCAAAATATAAAATTTTATAATTAAAGTATTTGACTGAAATAAATAAAACAATAAATTGTTTTTTTTTTAGTCATAGAAGAAATAATTATTACTTTTGAAACCTGCATTAATACTGAAAAAGTGAATTAGAACGATAAGGAACAGTAATTAAGCTCAAATGTACATTTAAACAGTAGAACTAAAAAGGATCTATAAAACATCCGTTGGGATCAGATGAAATAGAGAAGTTAATATCCTCTGTCGATTAGTTACACAAACTGGAAAAATCCGTTGACATTTCAGAGTCTAAATAATATAAAATAACAATTAGCATTCGACCTGGTGTCTAAATAAAAACTATACATGTATATTGATACTGTCAAGCTTAAACTCAATCATCAAACTAATATCAATTTTAGAGTACGTGTGTATACAACCAAAAAGATATTTTAACGAAATATTTGTAAATGTCCAGTGACAAAGTAATTACATTTACGGGTTCCAATTTAATGGAAAAGGCAACCGTCAATGATGTTAAAAAGCCTTGACTTTACTAGCAATTTATCATCGGGAATAGCTGTACGAATATAGAGTTTTAAAGCCTATGTGCAAATAAAAAATTGTGTGAATTTAAATTTTGTGGATTTGTATCGACATCCGATTTACTTCACTTCTCAAATACCAGTAAAGTGTTCTATTATACTTGTAATCCTGAAGTTGCACAAGATAAAAAGTAATGTAATAGCAAGAGACTATTAGTTTTTAGTATTTATCTTTTTGATCCTAGGTGAACGTGTATCTACTGAAAATGACGTAATATTTTCTCTAGTCAATGTATTATGGCGTCATAAAATACATTAATTGTCTCACATCCTGGAAATTCTTTAAATTTAAAAATATATTTTCAACATTTCATATAGAGCACATCCTCTGATCCAAAATATGCAATTACATATACATAGTGAAAGATTTATTTCTGGAGAACACAAAACATATTTTATTTTTTTTATCGTTGGCTGTGCTCGTATTTGGATTCTTTGCTGAAGGTAGTGAAATGCGAACGTTTTCTGCAAAATCCAAGAATACTGCATTTTCAAAACCTGTTTACAATACCTGAATTCTCAAGAAGAAATTTCATAATGGGAATTTTCAGCACCAAGTCTTTATTTTATTTTGATATGAAATGGAATAGAAGGTGATTTGGAAATTTCAAGAACTAAATTAAATTTTAACAACAGATGATTTATAATGAATAGTGAACTCGCACATGTGAATTGCATCCCGATGAAGCGACCATAAATTTTATAAAAGTTTTCAAATAAGCTTTTATTATTTAACCTTTCATTCAAACAGTTGAATATTTATGCTTACGAATTCCTCGTTGCGTATTACCTTGCTAAAATTTCTTAAACATTTTGTTTATCTTAATATTGTTCAATATCATCTTAATAGACCTTGTGGCCGAGAAATCCTTTTTAATTTTATTTGTGTACTCAATACTCAAAAGACCACAAAACAAATGTTTTAAACATCAGTAACTTTATATTCAATACTCCAAAAAACATGATAAATAAACAAAGGTAAATTTATTCTCATTCATTAATTTCTCTTTTTTAACACCGAGCAAATACACGTGTAAGAACAACTGATTATTAATGTCATGGTAGTTTTATCAAATAGAATAATACAAAATGCTTTTGAAGGACTCTTGCTACCAACATATACATGTATTAAGATATACTGTTTTGATTTCAAACAGGAAAATGATCAGTTTTAACTTTTCTGTTCTAATTTTTAAAATTAGAATTATGCATATAGAAAGTCTTATACGTTTTTGACAAATAAAATTAAAAGAAAAATACAGATTCTCATAAATACACTTAACCTAAATATCTTACATAAACAATAAATAAAAGCTAAAAATAGATGCTACATTTCCGCAAGTACTAGTATATTCATTGTGTAAAATATGTATATCATACACATATACACTCCTATAGTAAATAATAAAATTCCTATATAAAAATATATATATATCTATACAATAATGATTTTAGCTCGAAATATTGAACACTTAGTAGCATGTAATTTAAACTACATTCTAATATCACTCTTTCGAAATAATATCACATACAATGCATATCATATCCCTGTAGCTCTATAACAGATCTCGAAGCACACAGATATCTCTCCAAAACAATCAATCAAAATGACCGTATCGGGATCCTTTCTGTGATATCGATGAACCGATAAATCAATCCTGAGAATTATTTGTATATACAAGTCAGCTGTGTCTTGTCAACACAGTCCAAACTTGCACAAGCAAAGTTCCTTATGAATGGATTTCGGATCTGGAAAAAAATTAAACGCTTAAAAAATATAGCAAAATTGTGAAATTGATCAAAGGCATTTTAGTCAATTTCAATTTATTCATTGGTTAATTTTTACTGATCCAGAATATTGTGTATCTTATCAATTTTATGGTACTAAAAGTATACCAAAAGTATCCAGAAATATTAATTTTTAATACTTTGAAACTTCCGGGATCCTATGGGCACTTAAAACGTCTCTTTAGTAGCTAACATACGTGCATTTATAAGGTAAGAAGGGTATGGAGATAACGAACAGTATTCAATCTCAAAGTCCATAAAACAATACAAAATAGGAGCAGAGCAAACACACACCCACTGTATGTATACAGTTCAGGACATTATTTATTGAACAGCCCTTATATTGTCAATCAGAAACTCAAGCATCTTCTTGATGTCAACTTCAGAGTAATTGTGTGTGCAATCAGAATGTGTTTTAACAAAATAATTTTGCAAATGACCAGTGATCAGGTAAGTAAATTTACGAGTTCCATTTTTATTGAAAAGGCAGCCGTCAATGATATCAGAAAGCCTGGATTTTAATTTGTTTTTTTTTAATTTGATTTAAGAAGCAGATATATTATTTATAAACCTCTTCACGAGAAGAAGAAAACACTCGCTACTGCCTTCAACTCTACATTTAGATTATACCAACCATATATTAAGAAGGTTCCGTGAACTTCAAATTAAAGACACCACCGTGTCTGCCACAGATGTTTTATGTTTAGATGTTTAACTGATTAAAGACTTCAAATCATTTCAGACTTCAATCATATATTTTTTTTTAACTCAGACTGGAAACTGAGAGATAAGTCGATGTTACAGGAAGTTAAACAGCAATTCTATCGTCGTTATCATGACCTTGATATCAAATACAACTTATCATTTGGTCCTATTTTGGCTGACTTGTTTTATACCAATTTTAAAACAGACTGAATTTGACTGTGGAATGTTTTGTCTCCTTTATTAATACGTAATGCTCACGGCGAGTGTGTCCCGTCAACAGGGGATATTACTCCTCCTAGGAACCTGATGATCCAACCTCTAGAATTTCCCTAAGGCCCGTGTTTATATGCCCTTTTTAAATATTTGTTAAGTCTTTTTTTAAGATTGAGCACTATTCGTAATATTCGGCTTTTTTTCATTTTGAAGAAATAATCTTGACTTTCCTTTGCTTGCCCTCATCCGTTTATCCACGTAACACCAGTAAATCGTGGAAGAGAAAAAAATATAGGTTCAAATTTAAAAGTTTCTTGAAGAAGAATTAAAAATCTTTTATTACATTCATTCATAAATATTTTTATCTTATTACACGTATAAACAAATAAACCGGGATCTTTTTGTGTTAAATATAAGGATAAAGGAGATAACGAACAGTATTCAATCTCAAAGTCCATAAAACAATACAAAATAGGAGCAGAGCAAACACGGACCTCCGAAACATCAGAGGTGGGATCAGGACTACTTCAAAATTGAACTTATATAAAAGATACACTGTGCCTGTGTGCTATAAATCTTTCGAATTGTCCAAATCAAATTCAAATTATATAATTTACTAATTATTCATTTTTTATTAAACTGGAAACTAGAAATAGTGGTGAAATATGACACGACTTTTAAACCATCTATTTTCAAAAATTTTAATGCATTTAACTGGACCAAATAGTATGGATATATATGTAATTTATTGATTGATTGTTAGGTACAGAAAGACTTTTGAAATATCCCCAAACTCGATTACGTCATGATTGCTTGTGTCTCTCATTGAAAAAATTGTGTAAATGCCTTCGATATACAATCATATAGTTCACATGACCATATCAATGTAAAGTAAAAATTTTAAAAAGATATATAGGGACTACTAAAAGAAAATGGTTCATCGAAGCTGTTTGTGCAAACACAATAATTGAATCAACAGAATAAACTGTGTGATCTCATTTTGTGTTTTTCCCAAACGGTTACAGGACATGACTTACTATGACATTGTGGTTACATCGCTCTCTGTCATCAGGTGTACGACAACCGTAAGTTAATTTTTGAAATACGTCATTTCCTTCTGCTCCCCAGTCATAAACTATGTTGTATGTCTGGCTGGACTGAAAAAAGAGCATGAAACAATGCATTATTGTATTTAAACAGGCTTATCCTTGCTCATTTTTTGATTGTCTGTTTTTTCCCTTTTACTCTCGCAAAAACGATTTTATTGCATTTTGAATTTGACAGCCACAATTGCACAAAAGATATAAATTGTTATCTTTGTTTTCCTCCTGTTTTAAATTCACCTGCTTCCAAAGAGGGTGAAGATTGTAAACTAAAATGGGGCAAATATATCCTTGTGTACAGAATACAAATACCCTATATACAGGGTTTTCGCAGTCGTAAGCTATACAGAACATATACTGCGTTAAGAAATTTCAAAATGCATTATGAGACAAAACGGATATTTCTGTTTTTCCTAAAGGTTCTCGTTTATTAGGTGTCTCTTCCCCTCTCTCCCTTTTTTGTTTGGTGTCTTCTCCTTTTTTTGGAGGGGTATCAAAGATACTGCACTTCAATGAAAGGTTTTTTTACAAACATATATAAGAGATGATTCTTCTCTAGAATTCAATTTTATCAGCAAAAAGATGAAGTTAAACAGATAATTAACGTTCAGCATATCATTAGCATACCTTGTCTATTTTGCCAAAATTTGTGAAGGTGTCAATCGGTCCAGGATATTCAATCTCGCATCTGATAACATACCGCGCCCAGCGCTCCAAGTGATTGCTCCAGTTCTTTAAAGCAAAACATACTTGTATATCATCCTCAGCATATAAATCACGTGCAGAAAAAATAACATGCGCCAAATAACGAACTTTATTCCCTGAAGGCTTTGATAAACTTAAGGTGCAAGGGTATAAAGGTGTCACAATGTGCAGCCTTACCAGTTCCGACAATCCAGTCCCCCTGAGTGTGTTATGGACCTGGGCCAGGCGAACCTTGTCCGAACTATTCATTGGACCTGAACAAGATTATAACGATCTTCAAATCATAAAAATCAATCACAATAATTTTTATATTTTCATCATTTGAATATTGTTTGCTCATCTTGAAATCATCTTTTATTTATTTGTATCTTATTTTTGGAATTAAATTTAATGCAGTTGAAAATGATAAAAAAAGATATAGATACCATTACATGTATCCCTAAATCATTAAAAAAATGAATTGTATTGTTACTGTCAACACATACATTGTAGATTGTTTCACCCAATCTTTCTTTTGGATACTTTCTGATTTTTTATATCATAGAAAAAACAACATACAGACGTTTAAAGAAATGTATTGTTTAGTATGTTGAATTAGCATGCAGTAATGTTATCATTTGTAAATCAAGCAAAAGTAGTTAGAGATTATACCTTGTAAAATGAAATTCACAAATAAACAGTATTGAGATCAATCAAATATTTATTTTATTGTTAGAAATTAAATCGAAAACCACTTGACCACGAATTTGACGATCAGCCTGAAAATGAAGTAATAAAGAAAAAGTCTGTTAATGTCACAAATACATTGTTTCATTCGATCATTTACTTGCTATTTGTTGCTTTATAATTTGAACTATATGATAAAGTGGTAATATCGTTAAAATGATGTCAGGTTGCACAATTTTAGACAGTAGGTATGTGTCATGCATTCTCAAACTCTGCCATTGCACAGTAAGGTCAGTTTTGTAAGAAATATCTTTTAAAATAAACCTCCGCTTTTGTCACCAGATAATTAATGAATATCGCCTCAGCCAAAAACATGAAAAACAAATATTTTCTTAATATTTGATTTTCTACCAATATATATAAATTGTGTTTTCTTGTCACATTGTATCTCAAGGTTTTTTCTTAAAAAGGAAATTGCTCATTTTTTGGATTTCTTTTGATTATATGTCAAAACAGTGGAAAGAATGGGATGTTATCATATCATCAGAATCCAAATTATTTCAAAATTTACATGTATCTAATTTTTCATAACGCCTACCACTGAAGAATTTTTATACATGTATATAGCAAGAAAATGGCTGATAAAGCTACTGAAGGTTAAGTATTCTTATCTGCCTTTATTGTGCCATGTAGCATAAATTCTCATATTAAATGCAAGTATCACTGCACATCTTACATAATAAAAATGTCTACATGATGATCAGGGATGCAGTAAGTGACACTTCAGGCGAAGCAGACTTTGCGGGATCTACTGAGGGACTTACTTTCGATTCTTGCCGGTGCGTATCTGTTTCGTCTCTGTGCTTGTCGGCGTCGCTCTAGTTCACGCTGTCTTTCCCGCCGACGTCTCTCTTCCTCTCGTCGCCGCGCTAGTTCTGCTTGTAGTCGCTCCTCCTCTCTCTGGCGTCTCAATTCCTCCAACTGCCTTCTTTGTTCCTCTTGAAGTCGTCTGTCTTCGTCCTCATTCTTTCGGATAGCTGCAGCTCGCTCTCTGAGTTGTTGTGCTATCTGGTTGCGCCTGTGCTCTCGTTCCCGTCTGTCTCTTTCCTCTTCGCGCCTGCGCTGTTCCTCCCTTCTCCTCAGCAACAGTTGATATCGATAATCATCTCTCCTGGTCTGCCGTTTTACTGCGTGACATTTTATAGTAAGGACTCAATATGCATGCTTATCAGTTACCGTACCTTTGTCTGGGAATATAATCCACATTCTGCTACTCTTTATAAGGATAAGAACTTTAACATGTTTTGATTTATAGTATATATACACTAAATGTGTAAAAATATAAAATGTGATAAATCTAAACAGGTTTATTATATTTTTGGAAGAAAATTCCAGTTGATTCTAACATTTTTGTCATTTATTTGCCTTTTTGTTCAAAAACAGATATTTTATTGTTTTTTCTGCTATTCGTGTGTCCATCAAAATAATTGTTTATCTGACCAAATATCTTTTCTAAAATTTTACGATAAAGTTGTATGAATTTATTTCCTCATTTTTTATTGAAATTATCTAAATCTAGAAGAAATCTTTTGAATTCGTTAATGTTATGTCATACAATATAATTATAACAAATGCATTTAGTGAGTCTATTGTTGAAGATCATTATTTGCAAATTAGATGAGTACACAAGTGTAGAATTAGCGAGTTGATTAGATTTTATGAATTTTGTGAATACCATTATTTTAGAAGGGTTACCGTGTACAATTCTTTTATATTTATCGACTAGTAATAAACGTAAAGGACACACCAATGAAGCATTTTTGGGTATTAGAGCCAGTAAAACACATTATTTATAATGGATATACTCAATACCTCGTGCGGCTTGCGATGAGCGCCCTCTGGATACTGTAGGCGCCGCCCTCTGTTGACCAGTTCTCGTGTTATACTGTTGTTGTCTGTGAGATGTCGGTCGTCGTATGTAGCTCGGACTCCTTCCCTTCTGGGCCAGATACCTGGGCGTCGGACGGATCCGGATGTTGCCTTTGCTGTCTAGATACCTATATCCCTGGAGTACTCTCCCCTTGGTGTGTGATGATTTGTCATATCCGGTAGGTTTTATGATTTTATTCCAGTCTCTTGAAGAAGGTCTTTTTGTATTCAAAACTCGTCTTCCATTTGCTACAAAATAAAATTAGAATACACTAACGAATAACACATTTTAATTTGATTATTCATTTATTGCAGTGTTTTATTAACTGTTTTTTTAAATGATGACTTTGAAAGTGATAACAATATAATATAGAATATGCAGATCATGATGTCAGACAAGGTAAAAATACAATTATGATTATAATATGATATTGCTGATATTACAAACAAATGAAAATGTATAATGGGAAGTCAAACTCTATGCACTCGTCATGATGCCACCCAAGAAAATAAAAAAAGTAAATTCATAATACTGTTACATGATCATAACATATTTATGTCGTTATTCACATAAAAAGTAATTCAAAACAAAGCAAACAATGAGTTCATCTAAAGATAAAAAAAAGGTACAGAAGTTCATATCACGACATCATTCAGAGGCAAGAATGCGTCAAGGAGACCATATCATGATGGAAATGCGTATCATAGCATTTCAGACCCTGGATTAATAGATATTGTGAATTAATTACGATGTAGATCAACGCAAAGAAATGGAATTATGTATGATGATATCATACACACTTCATTACCATAGCAATCACATATTAATTACTTAAGTTTAATTGTCTAGCTTAATATCTTTCTCAGCAAAATAATCAGAAGAAACTTTACAGAAGTGCATTGTAAAACCACATATTTAGGTGGGGTCTAAGTTAAGGTTTGAGGAAAAAATATTGGTTTCTGATTTGGATGCGTGGTTGAAAAATGTTAAGTAGCATATGAAATTTTACATTTCATGATGGTCATTGATTTGCGGGTCTCTTCTTACCTAAAAAAAAAACAACGAAATTTAACCCCTCCCACGAAAATAAATGATTTCACAGTTATTAAAACAAAGATAGAGATGAAATATATGGAGATAACGAGCAGTATTCAAGCTCAATATTCCATTAAACAATGCAAAATGGAGCAGAGCAAACACGGACCTCCAACACAGCAGAGGTGGGATCAGGAGCGACAGTCAGCGATAAATTGTATTTGGTGACAAGGTCATTGATTCAACCATAGAACTTACAAATGATGACTTTAAACGAGACTGGTGATCTTCTTGTTTCATCACCTTTGTCGTTAACGTACCTGGTTTCAAAAACTGTTCGTATGTAGAGCATGCTCTTGCAAATTGTGTATCGAATCAACTGATGAAACATATGGATTTACTTACGACCATAGAACTTGCAAAATGGTGACTTTCAACGGTAGAGAAATATAAAACACATGTATTGGATATGTTCGCACTTTTCTGGCAGTAAGGATCAAATTCAATAGAGTCAGAAGAATTGAACATTATGTCAACATTCCTGATAAATAATCATTTAACCCAGCAAAACTAGAATAAAGAAAATAAACAACATCAACATCTCGAAGATATCAATGAAAGTGTAAGAATAAGGAAAATGACTTTCCCTGCCTATGAAACATATAGCGTACAGTATTCAAGATCATAAGTCCGTAGAGCAATATAATACAAGAGCAGAGCAAACACGGACCTTCAACAAATCAGAGGTGGAATCAGGTACCAAATGAGCACATGAACGAGCACACCTGCCGACCGGTCACACCCACCGTGTGCTCCTTGTCATGATCGGGAAAATCCGTCGTCAATTCAGTGTATAAATAATGGACTAACAATTAGCATGAAAAACGTCAGTCTCGCTTTCACTCAATGACAAATTGTATTTGCTGACAAGGTCATTGTATCGACCACAGAACTTTGAAATGATGAATTTAAACGAGACTGCTGATATTCTTATTTCATCAACTTGTTTGTCAATGATTTACCTCGTTTTAAAAAGTGTTCATACGTAGAGCATGTTTTTGCATATCGAATCAACTGAGATATATAAACTATGTATGTAGGTTATGAAGGTATATTGCTGCATAAGAAAGGGAAGTTGATGATAGAAAGGTAAAGTCATCACGTTTATCATAGAGCTTAGTTGTTAGATTACCATTAACTCTTTTTCAAGTAAAATATCCAAATATTAAACAGATGTGTCAAACTGTAGTATCTTCTTTCTCAAGCTCATTGGCATATATCGTATCGACATAAGAATGGAAATTACCATTGTTAATTGACAATACTTCGTCGATCGATATATTTAAATGTAGAGTTGAAGCCCAAAACAAGTAATTTCACGCATAAGATTTAGCACAAATTCGGCATCATATGAATACAAAGTAATGTAAGTCTGCTAATAACGGGGCGCAATTGGTATTCCTGGGGATTCCAATAGATTGTTGGAAGACCTGGTCTCCAAAAACCACATAGATATTGATAATTGTCAATCAGAAACTCGAGCATTTTTTATGACAACTTCAGAGTATGTGTGTGTACAATCATAAGGCTTTTTTTAAACAAAATAATTTTGCAAATGACCAATGACAAGGTACGCAAATTTATGAGTTTCATTTTCATTGAAAAAGCAGCTTTCAGTGATATCAAAAAGCTTGGATTTTAATTCATCGTGAGTAATTGTTGTGTATAAAGTTGAAAAGCCGTGAGGTTTTATTCTGTTGTGAAAGGGGGAGTAAAGAAGGCAGAAGCAGGAGAGCTGGTGAAGCTAAAAGGATCTACAGACTCTGCATGAACCTTTCAGAAGGACGAGACTGATCATGAAGTTCTCATCTAGTCAAGTGTAATATATGGTTTGCTATAATTGGCAAAAATATAGAAGATGGAAAAGATATGAAAAGCTTTTAGAGACTTCCTCCCAATATATCTCAGGGAGATTCTGAAAATTTTATTCAGCATAAATTACAGATGGAAGGGGTCATAGAATTATGAATTATTAAAGGTAAAAAAAAACACCAGGAGATGAAAATGGATAGGAGAAAAGTAAAGAAAAACGGGAGTGGAAGGCCGTACCAGTCTTAACTAAAAGTCTCTTGGAGACATTAGGAGATAAAAGGAGAAGACAAAGAAGACCAAAGGGACCAAACGAAACATGGAAATGTACCGTAGAGAGAGAAAAGAAAACACTGTATAAAAATCGTGGGATGAAGCCGCAGTGAACTGACAAAAATGAAAGGGAAGGAATAGAGTGAAAAGAAGTTACATGTACATATAATGTTTCCCAATATCATGATTATGTTAGAGAAATAAAACAGAACGAGATTCTAAGACAGGTTGATGCTTCGTTTAACGAAACCTTGGCCTCTTAGTCCTCTAGACATTTTATAAGGGTATATCTGACAGGTGTGTTTGTGTATTGACAGTAGTTTCCGGCTCAGGTATATTTTATGTAACCACCTTTTGTCAAAGTGACAGCTGAGGACTCCATCTAGAGAGGGGTTCTCAGCCGATGATACCCCCGTGATAATGGGTTCAGATAAACCCTTGTTTGAGTTTTGTTGATACGGATGTTCCGTGTACAAACACAACAAAAGAGCACGTTCATTTAACAACCCTGTATATATTAAGATAAGTACCTGTATTACTAGACCTCATGTCGAGACATTGTTAGAATATTAAGTTCGTGAATTTTATGAAAAAATGAAAACATGTAATCTAGCTGTTTTAGCTTACTTTGTTACTCGCTGTGCTATGATGTGTAGCGTCTTTTTCTAGAACTTGGAGTTATATCGAGTAGCCCTAGCTCACTTGCCTATGGAAGGCTGTACATCTAAACAAGTACTCAGAACTCATGTTTTAAAATCTTTGGCCCCCAGGCGTTGGCACTATTTTGATCCCCCACTTCTTAATGGCCCTGAGTACTGAGTAGATGTCTTAAAGACGTACAACACACTGGGGGAGATAACTCTTGCGATTTCAATTGAATGTTTGACGTGACGTCAAATTTAACGTCAAAAATAAAGCGTCAAAACGACGAGTAAAACGATCCCGATGTATATCAATCATGAAAGAAAATTGGGATATGGGGCTTGGCTTTGATTGCGCGTACCATATTCAATCAATAAGTATTTTTTAATTAACCCGATTAAACTCCGTAAAAAGCAAGACATAAAATACCATCCCTTAATGTTTATTTAATTTCATTTCATATACAATAAATTGTATTTTTGATCAAAGCGCAGCATTTTTTTTTTTTTTTTGAAAATTTTATTTTACATTGCCGAAATTCTCATTATGTACAGTTGGCTATATACATGTAACATTAATGGTCTTCATTACAATTTGTGCATTTACGATATAAATATTGTTTTTTTTTCTTTAATTAAATAAAATAACAATAAATAAACAAAAAAAAACTTTTTACAATGTAAAATCGATGTAGACCCTTACTGATCAAAGAGGAACAACTCTGAAAATGTAGGGGATGTTTATTTTCCTCCCTTTATTCACGTTTTTTTTCACAGAAACAGATACATTTACAGCAAGACCTGATAAATCCGAGAATTGAATACTATAGATCTCATATACACAATGTAAGTATAGAATTGAAAAGAATTGTTCACTTGTACTGAAATTATTTGCATTAGCATTGATGAATATCCTATTGCAGCAAATCGTTTGACTTTCTGTCAACAATGTCGGTTCGCATTTCCTCGAATCAAAACAAAACGTAGCCTATAAGATTTTTAAAAAATATCAAAGTGCGATTTGATATAAATCGAAATAGATGAAGAGTTTAATGTTTGTTATTTTGAAGTTAATGTGGACGAATACGGAATTTTCATACTAACTTTAGAAGCGACGACATTGAAAGAAATGCGTACAATATCATGAGGGGTGTACATCTATATATGCAAATGTCGATGTATCCCCACGGCCACATACTGTCTCGTTTGAAATAATGACATGAAAGAAACTACAATTATTCCATTAATATCACAGGAGATTTGAACATACAACATTTTTTTAATGAATAAAATTAAAGAAATAAAATTAAAAATCGACATATTGAAGTTCAACAAAACTTGAATTCGTATCCAGGTTTCATGTTATATGGAATGCATAACGCATACATATATGGACTAAACACTAAAATCCTTCAGTATTTTTTTCCTGATACATATAAAAAGAGTAGTCAATATTTATTCTGCATTCATGAATTTAAGAACTAATGCATACCTCCGGGATTCAAATGACGAAATACCAGTATCTTTGCACTGTAAACGACGTTTCGTCAAACGCTAATGGTCTGCGACACAAAAAAGGAAGGGGTGGGGGTGATAGGGGTATTCAAAAATTGCCTAAAAATCTACATTTAAATATGCTTTACATATGAGAACTTTTAAATTTGTAAGTTAATATATTTTTGAAGCAAAAGCAATATTCCAATTTATTGTTTTTAATGTGTATTTGTAGATTCATACATAGACCTAAATCGAAGGGACTGCCGACTTATGACGTCACAATCACTATCTTCTTGTGATTGCAGCGCCCTCACCGGGATGTATAGAAACAGACTTCCTGTAATGAAATCAATGTTGTAGCATCACGGATTTCTGCATTCTTTAAGGAAATAACAACAAATTAGAAAAATCAATCACATATCTAAGCTTTCTTCGACAAAATGATCTCGATTTACTACTTCAGAAGTTATAACTTTACGCTATGGAGTCGATGGAAACGTTTTAACTGCAGACATCAGCTGACTACGACGTGACATCTCTTGAATGCTGTCGATTATATTTTACGGTAGTACATGTTTATCTTCTTTTTTATTTTACAAAATAAGGACACAATTTATCTACCAATATTCGAAGAACTACCAATTTCAGATCTTCGCTGAATTAATATAAATAATAAATACATGATTGTGAAGTGCCGTTTACCATAAACTTGTGCTTGAGGACGGGACCCCCCTCCCCCTTTTTCGATATAGACCCCTGGGCTTTTTTCACATAAATAATCTTTCATTGACTTATTTGTGATAAGATCTATACCAAAAATTAGAAAAATTACCTAAAGTAAACGTTCTTTAGAATCTACCCTAGACTCTATATAAAAATCAACGAGAGTGCGGTAACATTTTTATAGAATGTTAGTTTAATCAAATTTTCTGAATTGATAGGATAGATTATATCACAAATGTGTCATCCATATATAATTTATGTGAAAAAAAGTCTAAAAGGCCCTGGGGTCTATATTTATGTGAAAAAGTCTAATAGGCCCGGGGGTCTATATTGGGGGGGGGGGTCCTGTTCTCAAGCACCTGTGCTGTTTACAGGTTTTAGATCAACAACTTAATAAATTGAGACTAGATGTTCCCGTGAATGATCTACATAATTATGTATTTTTAAGAAGCTGGATTTATGCAATTTATGTAATCGTGTTAATTCAGGATTACAACATTGTCAGTGTTGAAAAGATTTTCTAAGAGATTTTTTTTTTCATTTTTCCCCACAGGTTTTGTAGATAGCCTGTCGGCTTCTCAAATGAGAAATAGGGGTCTGCCTTGCACAGCAAACTCTATGGAAAATATTTTAGAACATGGTCATGCCATGTACCACCTGGTATTACGAGTTAAATGTGAAAGAACAAAGATTGGTCACAAACCTGCACAGGATTAAATCAACAAAAGTACCAAGTGGTGTGTCCCATGTATGCACGGATGAGTTGCACATGACTGGATTTCAATGATTTAATTATCATGTTAGAACTCCAATTTTTTCAACTATACTGTGTATATCCAGAATGTGATTATAATTAAATTTTGTATATCATAACTCAAAGACAAACTGCATCAATATAAATATTAAATAGTTTAATGTGACTGTAATGAAATATTATTAAAATCATTGTTATATTTAATTTTAGACTTTTCCTTTTCTATAGTGAGCTTATATTGGTGAGCACTGTTTTAGATGTACATGTATGTCATATTTAATGTCTTTTTAAAATATTTATTTTCAATGTAATCAATCACAACTCCAAAAAGCAAAATCATAATCGCTGAGCATCATGTTCAATCTTATCAGCAGCTTTGAAGAACAAACACTAGTAAGTAATTACTCTATATATGCAAGATCTACTGCCACTATGACTAAACTGTTTGATCTTGAACTAACTGCTTAAATAGAAGTTTTAATAACTTACTGTAGCTGTTTGTAGAAATTATACTCCCTATACCTTTTAGGTAGGACTTTAGGGAAAATGTTCTTCTTTATATCAAAAGAATCATATTTAAATGGGAACAACTTTACCCCTTTTAGCCCTATGGTAAATTTCAAACCCTAGAAAAGTTTGACAAGCTAAAAAAAAAAAAGGAAAATGTGTCCATTTTGAACAAACTAGAAAATCCTGTCGGGGGGGGGGGGGGGGGGGTACGTATAGGATTGAACTTCTTGCCTACTTTATAATAAAAAAAAATGGGGTGGCTATAGGCTTGCCAAAGAATGCTCCTATTAGTACTCATTACTTGTGTTACTGTAGGGGCCTGTTGCCATATCTTGTCAAACGCTGCTAGCATAAGATGTTTGCTCTTTAAAAAATTCACGTATCAATGGGCCTATCTGTTTCTTATATATGAACTTTTTTTTCATCGAGCAGCATCTTGAGCAACCTAGCATGCATTTTGACAGCTTCTCTGTGATCATGGTCATCATCTGTCTTAAATACTCAAACTATGTAGCTTTTTTTACTCATTAAAAACAAGATAAATACCTCAAAAGCTGCTCAAAGAACACTTTAGTGTATTAGTTAAAAGAATTTGGTACATTCGGAAAAAGTTTAATTCATTCCATGCTAAAATATCTCGACAATGTAGATGTAAATAACGTTATCTTTGTATGCCGGATGTTTTCATCCCCCCCAGGGCGCTTGGCATAGTGATATCTATTGTGACGTCATAGGAGTCGGCGATCCCTTCGCTTTAGGTCTATGATTCATATGACAAAGTGATCCCCCACTTTTTTGAATGGCCCTATTAAATCAAAACTGGTCGTACAAAAAATATACAAAAAATTATGAAGATTATTTTTACTACCAGCTACCTAAAGAAAGTTTTTTATCAAAATTAAACGACAGGTTTTTTCACAAAAAATTTTGAATTTGAAAAATACGTAATTTTCAGATCTTTAAAAATTATTTTGATGATATGTATTTGAAGCCCTTCACCGGTATATAGTGACTTTTTGAAAATCAAGGTTTAAGTAGGTCTTTTAAAAATTTTCTCTCCTCGTATTAATGTTCAAAATGTGCATACATACAGTAGATATAGTCATAAAAATAACAACGACAGGTGTGTTGTACATCCTTAATTTGAAGCCCTTCACCGGTATATAGTGACTTTATTGATCAGTAGGTCTTTTTCATTAACGTTCAACACGCTACAACCTAATATTACAATATTACTCTTATTGGTATAGAAGTATTATCAAATTTTGATAATTATACTTTCATTTCAGATAATAATGTCTCGTCGGTTTAGACGCATTTAACAAATCATTATATTTCCCTCATCAACAACACAGGTGAGATGGTCGACACAAGGATGGTATCGTCTGTTTCAGTTTACATATATTCAAAGAATTTGGGGTTAAAAGATGAGTGCGATTTTAGATTATTTATTTTATTCAAAACATTCTACACACCGAAAGAAGATTTTATGGTCATCTGTTGATTGAAAAAAAAAATCGTATTCAAATTATGTTCATCTTTTTCATCATTACAGAGCTAGAAGTTTCAAAAGCAGTTTCAGTGACTTACAAAATATCATCTTCCTGTGTGGTTCAGTCACATAATGACCTCTGACCCCATATTAAGTTAATATACCAAATTAAACAGGTTATATTTTATTTTCAGTAGTTTCATCTCAATAATTTTACCCCAAACATAACCTGAATGAATACACGTGTGTCCTCTTACCCGAGCAAAGTCCGCGGCGACACTTTGAATATAGCGGACACCTGGAGCACTTCCGGCCTCGCGAATATGGCGGACGACTTGTCACTGTTCTACAAAAAAATGTAAGTTAACTTTAGAAAAAAAAAGATTCAGATAATCATAGACATAATTGATTTTGAACATGTGATTCACCAGTTTAATCTACAAAATTGCAAAAGCATCGTCAGAAACAGACAAGGGTATCATTTAAGTTTGAATTTACGGATGTATGTACGCTGATTATAAATCCCCACTTTGTAGTAGATGAAAATGAAGTTTTTGTGACGTTAATTGGATCAGTTCCCTCATTCCTACTGTTCGGCCTATTCTTAATATCTTTTAAGATGTACGGGGATCTGCTGTTTTCCGTAAAAACACCTTGCATTTTTAACCTTTCACCCTTTATTTTTCTTTTTTAAAATAAGGCTATTTGCTATTTTCAATCGCTTCTTGATTATGATTGATAAAAGTATTACCTTGTCATTTCGTCGACCTATATATTTCTAGCTTGTTTTATAGACATCATCTCATGGAATTTGACATTTGAACTACATTGATTTTAAAATCTCAACTTTGCCACTTGAATACATGTACATGTATATGCTTACACTAACAGACAGCCTTTAACTTTTTTCGTAGGATTTTGGTCACAGTGTCCTTGCAGAAATACTAGATAATCAAGGATTTGCTATTTAGCAAAATTATTTTAAAAATTCCACGCAAACCCCGACTTTATATTATTACTTGACCTTCCTTCCTTCGAAGATAAAATCAAATCTTAAATTAATGTTGACCCCTTGAATATTGAATATTAAATGTAAAATGTCAGTCTTGGAATATTCTCGGAATTTAATCAAAAGAAAAAGCATATATCATGTATTTTGATTTTTTTTTTATTTCTGAAAAAATGGAAATTTTCATTATCTTACAAATATTGTATAACTTCCAAAATAATTCAAAAGAAATTAAGACTAGTAATCAAAATTTTTGCATAGTAATTTGTATGCAAGCAACTTACGTCGGCGAAAATAAACAAACAACAAAATACATATTTGCTTCCTCATCCTGTCGCTGATTGCGCATGCTTGAACAACGTGTAAGGGAACATGCAGCATTGTTTAAAGATGCAGTGACCATCTGAAAGCGAAAAAGGAAATAAAATAAATAAAGAAATAATCCTATAAGTCATCTTATCTTGTTTGTCATTCTAAGAACGATTGAAAGGTGCCATTTTGAAATATATATATATATTTGAAAATAACCAAAAAAATCACTGTTTTATAAAAGAAAGCAATCAAATTTTTAATGAAACAAAAAAAAAAAAAAATTAAGACAGTGGGATCGTTATTTGTCATTTATTTTTCATTCGAAAATAAAAAAAACTTGTAATAAAGAATATATAAGTATTTTTAGAACAAAATTGCTTTGATTTTCAAATTTCATAATTTGTTATACGCATGGATTGGACAGAATTTTACCCTCAAAGCCAACTTAAAAGAGTGTTTTGATTCAATTTATAAACTAAATACATGTATGCATAAAAAATAGTTTACCCATGGACCCACATACAATACTAAAGTAAGTCCTAGGTGTAATGTTTATATTCAGTTTCCTCCGAAATTTTATTTCAAATTAAAAAAGAAGAAAAGAAAACCTATATGTTGTTAAGAACTAAATGACATTGCCTCCCGCAAATCGTTAGATATAATCATCATATCTGATAAAACCCTAACGATGATAGATTTATGAATGGGAGGAATGCTGCGGTGTCATGGACGTTTGACGCAGTAGCGCCCTCTTTTGTGGCTGTAAGCGTGTTGATGACACAGATAGAGATGTTGTCTAGCTATGGAGGGGAATACCTAAGTAACTTGATCTACCTGAGATTTTATCAGACTGGAATATACACAGGTATATTTCACCAAATCAGCTCCGGTATGATGAAGGCTTTAAAGATCAGTTTTAAAGAATTATACACCCTTTTTCTTATAATATTTCAACAATTATTTGTAATTGTGCATTCATTCAATTATATGATGGCAATGAAATTTGAATACAAAAAAAGAGACTTTTCATACAGTCTTAACTTTGGTATAAAGGATGTAGAATTTGTATGCATCATCCATTTTGTGAATTATATTCTGGAAATTAAATGAGGAATAAATTCCATGTGAGACTGTGTTTGTACATTCCGACATGCAGGTGTTACGTAATTATTTTATGATAAATGTTTCCTACTCCATATTAATTTTTTCTGACATACCTTAATATATTCACAGGTGTTTCTTGCTTCACAAGACTGCCAGCCAAATCTGGTAATGTTGGATTTCTGTGTGGCCCAAAATCGGATAGCATTCATAATAATTTCCCCTGGCCGAGCTGTTGGATCAAATAGCTGTTTATAGAGAGCACTAGAGTATCGACTGTCTGGTCCACCGTCAAAATCACAGGATCGCCCTAGTCTGCGAGACTCTTTGGCCATCGTCAAGTCCCATCTCTTTAATTAAAACAAAAATATTTGTTAAATACTGAAGACTTTGTTCTAAAAAACTCTTTCAAAACAAATTTATATAACATTTATTGTAACTTGTATAAATTCATATTGTTTGACTTCATGATCAAAGTTTAGATGCGCATAAACGAAGTGACCAAAGCATTGGATTGGATAAGAAAGGGGTTGACAATATTTTGTCTGATATAATTACGTTATAGTCTATTTAGGTCGCTTATTAAGTTGTGGAAAACACGAAGCTATAGACTCCATGAGGATAAACAGGTCCAAAAAAGGACTTAATATGTACCTTCATTTGTTGTCAGGCACCGTCTTTAATCTGAGTGAAATATCTTCACTCTAACTTAGTACACCTTATAAGGCTAATTATTTGTGAAATCTTCTAAAACAGATAAAAGATTTATATAAAGAGGCCAATATAATTGTCTAGCCCTGGGGCGGATCTGCTCGTTTGATGGGCGAGGTGAGTGATTTCTACATTGTTTACAGAAGCCCAGGTGCTGTTCACAGTTGCCCGGGGACCATTAGATAAATATATACACCTGTCTGACGGAAACTGACACAGAAACCTATAAAATCATAACCCATATAAACCTATAAAATCACAACCCATATAAACCTATAAAATCATAACCCATACAAATCTATAAAATAATAACCCATACAAACATATAAAATCACAACCCATACAAACCTATAAAATCATAACCAATATAAACCTATAAAATCATAACCCATACAAATCTATAAAATCATAACCCATAAAAACATTTAAAATCATAACCCATACAAATCTATAAAATCATAACCCATACAAATCTATAAAATCACAATCCATACAAACCTATAAAATTATAACCCATACAAATCTATAAAATCATAACCCATACAAACCTATAAAATCACAACCCATACAAACCTATAAAATCATAACCAATATAAACCTATAAAATCATAATCCATACAAATCTATAAAATCATAACCCATAAAAACCTTTAAAATCATAACCCATAGAAATCTATAAAATCATAACCCATACAAATCTATAAAATCACAATCCATACAAACCTATAAAATCATAACCCATACATATCTTTAAAATCATAACCCATATACAAACCTATAAAATCATAACCCATGCAAACATTTAAAATCATAACCCGGTACTATAGTAACTTATTACCACAATGTATCTACTGGTGTATTATTTCCCAAAGAAACCTAAAAAATCATAACCCATACAAACCTAAAAAATCATAACCCATACAAACCTAAAAAATCATAACCCATACAGACAAGTTCTTGTACAAAATATAATTGGTTACTTAATGTTAAATACTTATTATTTTCAGTAGGATTTGGGGACGTTTGGTATTGTCAAAATATTACAAACAATAATATATATTTTTAAAATTTTTTAGACAAAGATTAACTGACTGTTTTCAACAAGAATGTGATGCTTTTTATTCGTCTTCAAAGTGTTTTGTGTATCGATATTTAACAAATTAACTGTGAATGCAATCCTATTTAACGAAACCAATTCCATCCAAGTATTTTCAATTGATTACAAAATATAGATTAAGCGGACATTTATTAATGATTAAGAAGGGAAGATTTACTCATATTCCTGGGGAGAATAGATTTTGTTTTTGTTGTCAGATGAAGGTTGAAGATGAGTGTCATTTTATTTTAAAATGTTCTTTTTATCATGAGTACAAGAAATTGTATATTAAAAAGTATTATTGGTATAGACCTAGTATGTATAAAATATTACAATTAATATCAACTGAAAATGTGAGTGAACTTTGTAATATAGGGAAATTCCTCCAAAAAGCAGAAGCACTTAGAGATATACATCTGTAAACTGAGTATTTTTTCTATGATTAGTTGGAAATATTGTATACAACAAGCAGTATTAACTTAAAAGACGTATGTCAAATATTTCATTTATGTATATTCATTCTGTGTTTTACATCCTGTATTTTGTAATCATGTTATCTGATAAGTCATATGATTTAAGGAATAAATAAATAAACAAACAAACCTACGAAACCATTACCCATACAAACTTATAAAATCATAACCCATACAAACCATAACCCATACAAACCTATAAATCATAACCCATACAAACCATAACCTATACAAACTTATAAAAGCATAACCCATACAAACTTATAAAAGCATAACCCATACAAACCACAACCCACACAAACCTATAAAAGCATAACCCATACAAACCTATAAAAGCATAACCCATACAAACCTATAAAATCATAACCCATACAAACCTATAAAATCATAACCCACACAAACCTATAAAAGCATAACCCATACAAACCTATAAAATCTAACCCATACAAACCATAACCCATACAAACTTATAAAAGCATAACCCATACATGTACAAACCATAACCCACACAAACCTATAAAAGCATAACCCACACAAACCTATAAAATCATAACCCATACTATAGAAAATTTTTACTACAATGCATCTACTGCTGTACTTTTCCCCAAAGAAATCTATAAAATCATAATCATAAGCCATACAAACCTATACAACCATAACCCATACAAACCTAAAAAAAATCATAATCCATACTATAATACATGTAACATATAACTGCAATGTATCTACTGGTATATTATTCCCCATGAAGATCTGAATACATTGTACATGTATATGTACATCTAATGCGATATACATTTTACATTAATACTCTTTTTTAAAAGTGTTGAATTATTATATTTGTAGCAAATCTTTTTGTTTGTTAAAATTGTTATTCATATATAATAAAAATTTAATAAGCATAGCCTAAACCCTGTTTGCACGGTATATATAGTGATGGTTCTTTGTCTCCGTTTCTATAAGATTAAGATTTTTTCAAAGTTCTTACGTAATATGCAAAGAGAGGTATTCAAATTCAATTACATCTTTATAGGTATTTGTCCGTTGCCCAATGGTAGAGTAAATATATATTTAAGAACATGAAAAAGAACGAAGAAATTAGACACCGGTATATTTGCTTTTATTTGGGAACACAATACTCATATAACTTCTTGCAAAAACATTTCTATGTACCAAGTTACGAGAGAGCGGATATTGACACCTTTAGTTTTCAGACTTCCTCCTGCCTAATGGCGTTGCAAAAACAAACGCAATCTTGTTGGAATCTACTTGACAGAACAGAATAATAGGGAAACAAGAACCACGTGACCTGCAATGTCCGGTTCGCCGCCACAAACAAATGTTTTCTCACGCCACCGTCTATTTAAATCCAAAAGTTTGCGAATTTTTCAATTTGATCAAATAAAGCTAAAAATATGTACATATTTATATTCAGCATCACTAATGAAATATACATGACAGATTATTGTAGCATTAAAACTTACCTGCTTAATGAATTTTCTGTTAATTTTTCGTTTAAAAAAATAGAGGAATAGGTGATTTAGAATAATACAAATTATAAATGTACTATTTTTAAATGTACTAAGGGATATCCCTAATCACAAAAATTCTTTTACCTGTATTTAAGTCGGTAGTAATAAATACACTTTCGTTTAATCTATTTTGAAATTCATATGGCTTTATGATATTCTATGCTTTTGTTTTCAAATGAGTGAAAAGGTAAATTCAAAGAGGAATAAATGCAATTTTTGAAGAGATTTAAAAGTATTTTAAAGTACAGTGTAGATATATAAATCTTTACAAACTCTGAACTACTGAGAAGTCAACTGAAATATTTCTTCTAGGGACAATTTGAAAAAGAAATTCTTTTGACATTTTGAATGCTGTGGAAAAATAAATTATTCTTAAAACTCAGTCATTTTGACAATTTTAATACACCTTGTAGTGTAAAATAAACATATTTTCATATTTGAAATATTGCAGTTATGATATATAAGGACAGATGATTCCGTTCGTATGCATTTAAAGGTACATATTTCATTAACTTCGTCATTGTGCAGTATGTTCTATCAGAGTGCCATTAGCGCTGTTAGTTAAGAAATTTCTGCGTTTTTTGACATTCTTGATTTATGTAGCTTTTGGCGACTTTGTCATTAAATCTAGCATTTTTTGGAATGGACTTAAACTGTTAATATGTTTAGACGTCTATTCATGTGAGATTTTATTCTGTATAGAAATATGGAGTTTTAAAATCATTTCAAAAATACATGTAAAAGGATTTTTTTTAAAATTTTGTTAAATATTAGAATTGGAGAAAAAAATTGATATCAAACATTTTAAAATCATAAAGGAATTCCAAAGAAAGACTTTTTTTTTTTAAAAATGGAACGATCCAAAATTGCAGCTTTGTTAGAACGCGAAATTATAATTATGAATGACCTTAAGCGGAAAGTTCTACCTTCATCTATTCCTTTATCGCAATCTACAAAACGGTATTTGAAACAGTCATTTTCCAAATAGAGAAGTTACTATAATCGGACTATATGGTCCCTTTATCAAAGTCAGATTGCCCTATCGTGTGCCAAAGACCCGAATAACACCTTAAATTAGCCCTCAATTCTATCACTAGACACTTATCACATATAATGTGCAAGTCAATTTGTACAAGGGGAAAATAACACATTTTTGTCAAGTGTTCTTGCTTTAATTTATAAATAAGGAATTTCTTTTCAAAAAAGGACTTTATAAGGTATGCAACGAGCGACCAAGGTAAACACGACAGTCTGATAGCTGCATGTGAACACAGCAATTTACGGAAAGGTTACAACATGGGATAACATCGGAATTAAACTTTTTTATTTTAATCAGAAGCGTGTTTTGATCGACAATTCAAGCAGCCAAGCTTTGTATCTACGATAAGACTAAAACAACGATACGTTGTGTTCGTATGCATTTTGTTAAAGATCACTAGGATATTGGACTATATATGTCATTCCTACAAAGCCATTAGTAAGTTTAAATTACGAATATATACATGTATGCAATATGATACACATTCATGAATTGCAGTTAGGTTTTTAATTGTACATAATTTATATGCGTAATATGGAAATGTATTAAATGCATTTCTTACTAATTCATTCATATCAGCCGCCCTGACGTCTCTCCGTAGGTCGTTAAAGTACTGCACGTTCATTTTCCTGTCCCTGTGGCTCAGGAATACTGAGACCCCGGGGTAGGAGGAACACTCGCACTCCAGGGCCAGAAGAATCCCCACGATCAAAGGCACCGTCAATAATAATGTACTATCGATTCCAGACATCGTTCAAAACTCTGTATTATTTCCAAGAATAACTGAATTAATATCACTGCCCCATTGTCTTTACACTATTTTCCACAAAAGTCTACGATTAGGCAGATAATCGGTGTTCCAGGTGTCATCAGAAGCCGCCAGAATCCGGAATAATTCACAGGTAGTCTGTACCTGGCCAAGTTAAATCACCAATTGCCGCTACTTAATTTAAAATAAAAAAAAAATAATCGTGGCCTGCTTCTAAGGCGAACGTTACCTGAGTAAAGATATATAACCCGTCACCACATCAAGGTACGGTTTTTTTTTCGGGCTGAGGCAAGATATAGTATTGATAAAATTCATTTTATGTACTTCACAAATGACCACGAGGAAACAGGTTATGGGCGACTTTCCAAACACTGCGTTTACTGCATATAATTCGTTTAATTTTGTCATAATTCAGTATACATTATATTATTTTTTTTTCAATTTTTCCTAGCTTGTATTCTGATGGAATTTGACGTCACACGGCGATATTGAATGAAGGGGTCAGCTGATCAGACGAGTTCACGTCAATAAGATGTTTAAATTCAACACTGATGACAAATGCATAATAAAACATTTGTATGCACAGGACAATGTAAACGTCTAAGATGAGGATTGCCAGAGACACGTTGACTCAAAATCCATGCAGGTATCCAAGATCAAAGTAGGGGGACAATCTTACATATTAGCAGGTTATTGGTTATGTACACAGTGTCTGAATATGTCCTCAGTGATGTAGTGTGCAAAACAATGTTTGTTTCTTAAAGCAATAAGAAAACTCTTTTCATGACTGTTGTATAAGAAAAGGGAACGTTTCTTGAATTTGTCTGAATGATTATTTTTGTAAACAAACATTTTGTGCATGCATTAACACTAAACAAAAAAAAGGAATTTTTGTCCATTCTAAAAACTAGAGGAAAAGACAAAACATTAAAAAAATGAAAACAAAATACAATGCAATAAAGTTTATTGCCCGGAAATGATATTTCGAAACCTCTTTTCTTACTTACTTAGTTGTTTGGTAAATGTCAGGGCTAATAAATTTTATTTACTTACATATTCATTTATCAGAAAGATGCCATATATATATTTTTTTCATTTGTAATTACTTGACTTTTTAAAGTGTCCTTTAGTTTATTTAAAAGTGTCTGAATATTAGAAAAAAAAATAAACTCAAACTAGCTTCATTTTCAAAGATTCCTAGTTACGTTAACCGGTTTTCAATTTTATTTTCTCACTCTCATTCTCACTTTCTTTTTAAGAATATATTTTTTTAGCGGGGCATGTTTTGAACTTTAAAACGAATCCATTTTATCAAAAATGAAGTAATTTTGCTCGTTTTAAAAGGACCATGCGTTAAACCCCAGCAGATAAAACCAGTTGAAGGAAACTCGAATAAAGGGAGCCTCGCCCGTAACCGATACTGTTAAAATACAGCTCTTACATACTAGACTGCGAGTAGGAGAAACTGCTACGTCAAACCTCGGGTAGTACATCTATCGCTCTCTACATCTCCCCGCCACACGCACTGTTTCCCTCCCCTCAGATACCGATCACAAATTTTGTTCCAGAGGAATTTTGTGTCAGTAAATGTGGACAATTAAAAACTTATATCTGTGGATTAATGTACGCATTTCCACCCTATGTCATAAACATATCATAAAGCGTATTAGTAACGCAAGAAATAATTTTAAAGTCACCAATATCATTTGTGACGTACTCATTGCCAATTATGGAACCTGAGGGACTGTTACCATGTCGCGAAAAATGGTTGTTTGGCCAAATGATGTTAAAAAATACTAGGCAAGCTATAAATTATATCAAATATCTTAAAATTAGCAAAAAACTTCGGTCATAAGCAATAAAATTTTACTTCACTTTTATTTTTTTTTTTGAGTTAAATGATCGTGGTCCAGTGAGAGAGAAGTTCATATTAGGACAGTGGACGTCAGATGGGGGCTATTAATAACGGAGAAGCTGGACCGCCCAGCCCGGGGGGGACGAGACAGCTGTCAAACTCGTGTCCTTTACCATCATCAACAACTGGTATGTAATGGAGGAACAAAGTTATGTATCATAAACAGACATGTTGTGCTTCAAAATAAGTACACGGTACATGCATGCACTCCAGTAAGTCATATTTGACGGAAAATTTAATTCTATTTCAAGAAATTGAATTCGTTATAAAATGTGCATAACAGCAATATTTATGTATATACCGTAATCCTTTTCCTCTTTTTTAATATTTGTTTAGATAATTTATTCTTAAAAATTGTATAGTTTTAGGGGGTTTTCATATCATTTTTAAGTACTTATGTAATATTTGATTTTTTTAAAATTTATATCCTATTGTTTTTTACATTTGAGTATTAGATACATGAAAAAATCCTTGTACCTCCGTCACTAAGACACACTGCTTCGATATCCTAGCCCCCTGCATTTCTTAGCAAAGAATTTCCTCGTCATATATGAATAGCCTATCAAATGTTTGCGAAATGGGGTTTAGAACATTCAATTTTCGTTTAATGGATCCCTAGAAGCATAGAAAGGCATGATTCAAAAAAGAAAACGAACATCTATAATTTGATTGGAAGGTGAAAACAAGTGTTCTTTTCAGGGAAGCGATCGGGAAGTGCGATATACAAATCTAAAGATATTGACAAAGTGTAAATTATATATTTGCATAATAAACAGAAGAATCATTTAGTAAACGCGGAAAACTTATTTTAGAGTACTTCACAGAACAAAATACATCTGAAAAGTAGCGCAAATCAGTTGTGGATACTTAAATAAAATACAAAGGCGATTAAGAATAAATAAAAAATACAAAACAAAATTAAAATCACAAAAATTAACTAAAATCAATTACATATATACTTTTTGCGTACTACATAATAAACCTGCAAGTTTATGGAGAAAATTTGTATAGGCAGTACAATCATATTCAAAAAAAAAATGTTTAGATAAATTTAAAAAAAAAACGCTGTCAGTTTCAATACACTTGATGTAACATGATAATATTTTTAAAATATATAACATGTTTCTGAATTGTCTACATTTAGTCTGTTTTTCCGATCTAGACAAGTAGTACAGGGTAGATATGACGGGTCTACAGGGGAAGCTTACTCCTCCATGGCACCTGATTCTATCTAGACAAGTAGTACACGGCAGATATGACGGGTCTACAGGAGATCTAGACAAGTAGTACACGGCAGATATGACGGGTCTACAGGAGATCTAGACAAGTAGTACACGGCAGATATGACGGGTCTACAGGGGAAGCTTACTCCTCCATGGTACCTGATTCTATCTAGACAAGTAGTACACGGCAGATATGACGGGTCTACAGGAGATCTAGACAAGTAGTACACGGCATGCAGATGTGACGGGTCTACAGGAGATCTAGACAAGTAGTACACGGCAGATGTGACGGGTCTACAGGGGAAGCTTACTCCTCCATGGTACCTGATTCTATCAAAGTAGTACACGGTAGATATGACGGGTCTACAGGAGATCTAGACAAATAGTACACGGCAGATATGACGGGTCTACAGGAGAAGCTTACTCCTCCATGGTACCTGATTCTATCTAGACAAGTAGTACACGGCAGATTTGACGGGTCTACAGGAGATCTAGACAAGTAGTACACGGCAGATATGACGGGTCTACAGGGGAAGCTTACTCCTCCATGGCACCTGATTCTATCTAGACAAGTAGTACACAGCAGATTTGACGGGTCTACAGGAGATCTAGACAAGTAGTACACGGCAGATATGACGGGTCTACAGGGGAAGCTTACTTCTCCATGGGACCTGATTCTATCTAGACAAGTAGTACACGGCAGATTTGACGGGTCTACAGGAGATCTAGACAAGTAGTACACGGCAGATATGGCGGGTCTACAGGAGAAGCTTACTCCTCCATGGCACCTGATTCTATCTAGACAAGTAGTACATGACAGATATGACGGGTCTACAGGAGATCTAGACAAGTAGTACACGGCAGATATGACGGGTCTACAGGAGAAGCTTACTCCTCCATGGCACCTGATTCTATCTAGACAAGTAGTACACGGCAGATATGACGGGTCTACAGGAGATCTAGACAAGTAGTACACGGCATGCAGATGTGACGGGTCTACAGGGGAAGCTTACTCCTCCATGGTACCTGTTTCTATCTAGACAAGTAGTACAGGGTAGATATGACGGGTCTACAGGAGATCTAGATAAGTAGTACACGGCAGATGTGACGGGTCTACAGGAGAAGCTTACTCCTCCATGGCGCCTGATTCTATCTAGACAAGTAGTACAGGGTAGATATGACGGGTCTACAGGAGATCTAGACAAGTAGTACACGGTAGATATGACGGGTCTACAGGGGAAGCTTACTCCTCCATGGCACCTGATTCTATCTAGACAAGTAGTACACGGCAGATATGACGGGTCTACAGGAGATCTAGACAAGTAGTACACGGCAGATGTGACGGGTCAACAAGAGAAGCTTACTCCTCCATGGTACCTGATTCTATCTAGACAAGTAGTACACGGCAGATTTGACGGGTCTACAGGAGATCTAGACAAGTAGTACACGGCAGATGTGACGGGTCAACAAGAGAAGCTTACTCCTCCATGGTACCTGATTCTATCTAGACAAGTAGTACAGGGTAGATATGACGGGTCTACAGGGGAAGCTTACTCCTCCATGGTACCTGATTCTATCTAGACAAGTAGTACAGGGTAGATTTGACGGGTCTACAGGAGATCTAGACAAGTAGTACACGGCAGATGTGACGGGTCAACAAGAGAAGATTACTCCTCCATGGTACCTGATTCTATCTAGACAAGTAGTACAGGGTAGATATGACGGGTCTACAGGAGATCTACACAAGTAGTACACGATGCAGATGTGACGGGTCTACAGGGGAAGCTTACTCCTCCATGGTACCTGATTCTATCTAGACAAGTAGTACACGGTAGATATGACGGGTCTACAGGATATCTAGACAAGTAGTACACGGCAGATATGACGGGTCTACAGGGGAAGCTTACTCCTCCATGGTACCTGATTCTATCTAGACAAGTAGTACACGGCAGATATGACGGGTCTACAGGAGATCTAGACAAGTAGTACACGGCACATGTGACGGGTCTACAGGGGAAGCTTACTCCTCCATGGTACCTGATTCTATCTAGACAAGTAGTACACGGTAGATATGACGGGTCTACAGGAGATCTAGACAAATAGTACACGGCATGCAGATGTGACGGGTCTACAGGAGATCTAGACAAGCAGTACACGGCAGATATGACGGGTCTACAGGAGAAGCTTACTCCTCCATGGTACCTGATTCTATCTAGACAAGTAGTACACGGCAGATATGACGGGTCTACAGGAGATCTAGACAAGTAGTACAGGGCAGATATGACGGGTCTACAGGAGATCTAGAGAAGTAGTACACGGCAGATATGACGGGTCTACAGGAGATCTAGACAAGTAGTACACGGCAGATATGACGGGTCTACAGGAGAACCTTACTCCTCCATGGTACCTGATTCTATCTAGACAAGTAGTACACGGCAGATATGACGGGTCTACAGGAGATCTAGACAAGTAGTACACGGTAGATATGACGGGTCTACAGGAGATCTAGACAAGTAGTACACGGTAGATATGACGGGTCTACAGGAGAAGCTTACTCCTCCATGGCACCTGATTCTATCTAGACAAGTAGTACACGGCAGATATGATGGGTCTACAGGAGATCTAGACAAGTAGTACACGGCAGATATGACGGGTCTACAGGAGATCTAGACAAGTAGTACACGGCAGATATGACGGGTCTACAGGGGAAGCTTACTCCTCCATGGCACCTGATTCTATCTAGACAAGTAGTACACGGCAGATATGAAGGGTCTACAGGAGATCTAGACAAGTAGTACACGGCAGATATGACGGGTCTACAGGAGATCTAGACAAGTAGTACACGGTAGATATGACGGGTCTACAGGAGATCTAGACAAGTAGTACACGGTAGATATGACGGGTCTACAGGGGAAGTTTACTCCTCCATGACACCTGATTCTATCTAGACAAGTAGTACACGGTAGATATGACGGGTCTACAGGAGATCTAGACAAGTAGTACACGGTAGATATGACGGGTCTACAGGAGATCTAGACAAGTAGTACACGGTAGATATGACGGGTCTACAGGGGAAGCTTACTCCTCCATGACACCTGATTCTATCTAGACAAGTAGTACACGGTAGATATGACGGGTCTACAGGAGATCTAGACAAGTAGTACACGGCAGATGTGACGGGTCTACAGGGTAAGCTTACTCCTCCATGGTACCTGATTCTATCTAGACAAGTAGTACACGGTAGATATGACGGGTCTACAGGAGATCTAGACAAGTAGTACACGGCAGATATGACGGGTCTACAGGAGATGCTTACTCCTCCATGACACCTGATTCTATCTAGACAAGTAGTACACGGTAGATATGACGGGTCTACAGGAGATCTAGACAAGTAGTACACGGTAGATATGACGGGTCTACAGGAGATCTAGACAAGTAGTACACGGCAGATATGACGGGTCTACAGGAGATCTAGACAAGTAGTACACGGCATGCAGATGTGACGGGTCTACAGGGGAAGCTTACTCCTCCATGGTACCTGATTCTATCTAGACAAGTAGTACACGGTAGATATGACGGGTCTACAGGAGATCTAGACAAGTAGTACACGGTAGATATGACGGGTCTACAGGAGAAGCTTACTCCTCCATGGCACCTGATTCTATCTAGACAAGTAGTACACGGTAGATATGACGGGTCTACAGGAGATCTAGACAAGTAGTACAGGGTAGATATGACGGGTCTACAGGAGATCTAGACAAGCAGTACTAGACAGATGTGACGGGTTTACAGGACATCTAGACAAGTAGTACACGGTAGATATGACGGGTCTACAGGGGAAGCTTACTCCTCCATGGCACCTGATTCTATCTAGACAAGTAGTACACGGTAGATATGACGGGTCT